AAGGAAAGGGGAAACGATGGTCGTTGATCTTTGTGATCAACGACTAGGATTAAAAGGGTTTGGGGACGGGTTGAATTTTATTGGTTTGGGCTGGGGTAGATTTGTGCTGGTTTTAATTGAATTGGGACTGAATTTGTGCATTTTAATTAGGCTAGGTCTGAAAATAAAAAAGGCTATTTGGTAAATACCCATTTAATTAATAAAAACAATTTTTAAAAATAATTAACGGATGATAAAAATAATTTGCATGCCTAGAAATGTTTTAAAATAATTACCTAGTATTTAAAAAATGTAAAAGGCTATTTTGTGGTAAAGTAATGTAATAATGCATGCAAGGGCTATAATTGCAAAGTAAATGAAATTGTAACCCCAAAAATGCAAATGTGGCTATTTGTGCAATAATTAAAAATCTGTGCAAATATAAATGATAAAATTAAGCCACAAAATTATTATAAAACTATTTGTGATGCAATTAGTAATTATTTATATAAATAAAAATACTGGGATAAATTAACTAAAACCCTTAAAATGCAGAAATTGTGAAAAAATATTAATTGATGCTAATGCATAGTTTTGAAGGTATATATGCATTTTTAGAAAAATATTATAGGGAAAATTGGGTATCAACAGCTGCCCCTCTTTGCCCGGGAAGGATGAAAGAGTTTTCAAGTAAAGAAATGATGGCCAATTTTGACCGAATGAGATATTTTGAAAAATAGAGGTCGAACCCTGGTCCTTGAGCTGCCTACATATCCTTGGTTTTACAGGAATCAGGTCACGTGTTGTTCTGGACTCACTGGTGAATGAAGCCGATGGAGTTGTTATAGGAATGGTAGCCAGTTTCAGCAAAGGTTCTTTTGTGAAGTGTAATGTTGAATGGAGTTATGGTTGCGATTCTGGAGTGTAACAGATGCATTATAGGGTAGATAGCTGGATATCACAAGGTATGATGGATAATCAGACTTCTCCTAGACTTAGTTCTTTGTAAGGGCACCCCACACTTTTTTCTAACAATCTCGCTTGATTTTGCTTCCTTCCAATGGTTTTGCTTCCTTTGCTCCTAGAAAATCATAAATGACACTATGAAAATGATACAATATAAAATTAAATTAAAAAAAAAAACTAAAAATAAAAGAAAGCAATAAAGATGGGTTGCCTCCCAACAAGTGCCTGATTTAACGTCGCGGCACGACGTGCATCACATTTTGTCTCCACCTCGAGCTTATGAATTGAACCCCTAATTTTGATTCAAGTTTTCGGTTATGCTCCAGGGGTGGTGGAACAAATCTAACTGGCCCAACGAAATACTATAGTATTCTGCACTTCTTGTCCTTGACATGAGATATGTAATCCTGACTTTCTGGAACGAAAAATTCCAGAGTATAGGGAATTTGTTCCTCATTCCTTGATTCCTCAATTGGCTCGGATAACTTTATTTTCATATTATCATCCAAATACAATGTGGAAAAATTCTTGGAGTGAGGATCAATGTGCTGAAATACATAAACTCCAGGACTTTCAACATCTTCAGCACTAATGAAACTAGAAGCAACAAAATTTGTATTCTCACTATCCTTCACTGACTCTGGTATCACGTTTTCAACATCGGCATCCTCAAATTTTAGTTTGCTCAGTTGTTGGTATTCTACTCAAACCTCCTCCGTCAGAGTGTCAACTGCTGGCTCTAATTTATATTGCTTTCGACTACTATCCACCATATTGACTTGTTGAACATTCAAAGCTTCTACCATTTGACTCACTCGAGCCTTCAAGTTGTGAATAGTTGCCTCTTACCTTTGAATGCGTAATTGTGTGGCATTATTTTGTTCCACAAGGCGCCTTAGCAAATGCTTAATCTCCTTTATGTCAGCATCCCTAGGTTATTTATTCCTATTAACTTCACAAGTAAAAGTAGAACCATCATAATAAGGGGTGGGGGGAGGATAAAAAATATAAGTACAACCATGAAAGTGACCATTTTGACCACCACGCATATCACATACATTCCACACATAAGATTGAGTTGGTACACATAACTCTCTCTCGAGAATATTTTGATAATTCTACAACGGGTGATTTCCTTCACAATATAAATAAGGATCAAAAGAAAAATTACCAGCACTTAAACTCCCATAATTCCAAGATGTCATGTTTCTTAAATCAAAAATAAAAATAAAATAAAAAGTTCATACTTGACACTAAGCTATATATACAGCTAAAACTGCATCGTTAGTTCCCTGGCGACAGCGCAAAAATTTGATCATGCTCAACTCTAGTCTTAAAAAGGATAAATGGTCACTGCAAATATAATCCAGTCTAAGAGTCCGGAGTCGAATCCTACAGATAACTAAGGTTTCGCTATAACTGTTTAATATCACCAATAAGGGAAGCTTGAACAATTTCTAAATTATAAATAAAAATATTCTTATATCTAACTAATTAACTAACAAACTAAAATAGTAAGTTAACAACTAAATATATAAAGTGTTGGAGACTAAATTAAGGAGGTCTAGAGTTATGGTTCCCCCAATTGTCGGAATCCTACTCGCTAAGTCTCCTACAATTTCGCCTAAGTATTCTCTATAGATCATGTGCACTCGACTTATCATAATTCTCTCTCGAGCAACTACAATAATGTACTAGTCATATTCTCTCAAATTACGCTAGCTCGCACTTTTTCACTGCTCACTATGATCACGTCCAAGCTTCGTTATCTCTAATCCCACTTTTAAACACACCGCATTGATCTCTCATATACCTTTAGAGTGAATTGTTCAACAACCACCTAAATATGTATCCTTTCTCAAGCAACACATAATAAATAGACACAGTCAATCGATGGTCATTCAATCGACGGAAATAAGCATGCAGTTGAATAAGTAGATAAATTCAAAGGTCAAATTATATTAAAACATAACAAGAATTCATCCTCCAAGAGGTTCCATCAAAACTCTAGTTAATAAATTAGCTATTCATCAAATTATGTGAAAACACAATACTTAAATTCATAACCAACAATAAAAATAGGAATAAGAAAGGAAAAACTTGTGGTTGAATCTTCCTCCTTGCTCCTAGCGTATTCTTGCCTCCTTGTGTATTGTCTAACCCTAAAGTAGTGTCTCTTGCTTCAAAAGGACGTATTATGATGTATTTATATCCATTAGGGTCGATGTGGGGCATTTTTGATTTCTCCTAATTCGAAAAGGACACATTTTTTAGTCGCGTGCTAGAGTTGGTGCAACGCACGACTTCTAGTACGCTCCCAGCTATTTTTTCTTCTTCTTTGTTCTTTCGCGTGACAGGTCAAGTGCTAACCTCCATAATTCGCTATTTTTGTTCATCTCCTATGCCATTTCGCGCTTACATTCATGCAATGCACCAATTGTGGTGCGCTCCCAAGTCTTGCATCTCTACTCTTTTTGCATCAAATAATCCAATTATTGTCAACTTCCATCCAAATTCATTCCTACACACAATAAACATGCAATGAGCATATTATATGTTTATAAACATGTAATCTCCCGCAACTCACATAAGAAATAATATGCAAACATACTCAAAAATATGTATTTTTTATCATTTATCACTATCCCACACTTAAACTCTCGCTTGTCCTCGAGCAACTTAAAATTAAGCACATCGGCAAGTAACACACTTCCAAAACATACTCAAGCATCACATCAATGACAATGGTTTATATCAGCGCTTAGAACCCGACATAAGTACTCTTCACACTTTTTCTTATTACTAGTCCTTGACACGTGCATTGCACGTGTATTCCATACAAGTTGTACAGATTGTATAAATCATATTTAAATTGCATTGTAATTAGTAAAAGAAAATGTAATTTATAAAATATAAGTTTGCAAGGAGTAAAAGTTTGCCTATTATATATTTTTTGAACCTGCAAAATTGAACAGATAAAATTTGTTATTATTGGTATATTTATATTATCTATATTTTGATGTTAGTAGGTAGAAATAACTATCTTACCTAAAACATTCTTATAGATGATGTTTTTGGTGTATGTTCCACTTCTACGTTTTGGTTGCTCTGTCATGACCAAAATCTTGTTGTGGACATTTATATCCCTCTTGAAAGTGCGACATACAATTGTCTATGAGAGAAAATATGTTGCGGCAAATACAAGCCAACGTGGGGAATTGTTTGGCCTTGTGCTTTATTTATTGTCATGGCATAGCAAAGACGTAATGGAAATTGCTTCCGAATGAATTTGAAAGGATATCCTTCATTTTCAGGGTGTGAATGTTGAATTCTGAGAAGAAACACATGCTTATTTGCACAATGTCCAATCATTATTTCAGCATGTAAGACGTTATTGTTAAAGCCTCTACATATCATTCTTGTGTAATTGCATAAGCCATTTGAAGGGTCTAAATTCCTGAATAACATGATTGATGCATTCTTCTTCAAAACTAACCGGTACAAAATAGAAAATTTATTTTTAATTTTATTTCTAAAACATGTATGTATATGCAAGCACAAGTGAGATATGAGTGGAAAAATTGAATGTGTATACAACATATAGTATTTGTCATTTAACCTGTGTGGAGGGAGACCATTTGGTGTCAGAGTATTTAGATATTCTTCCTGATGGTAGTTATTGGTGTCATCTTCTGCAGAGTCAAAACTTACAAAAGTTTTGCTTTCACCTAGAAATGTGGTTATCAATATCTCATTTAGTTTATCAACATACTCATTTCGGCTTGCTAAGATAGGCCGCTATATTACCTATTGTGCAGAGCCTGCATTTTTCTATAGTGACGAAAATATTTCTTTTATTAAGTAATCAACATCTGTATCATCAGTACTATACTTAACAGTCAGTTGCTCTGGAAGAAGCATCAACTTATCTCTTATTGTCGGTTCTTCTCCGTTGCCAACACGAAGTAAGAAGTCGCTGAAATTTGGGTCTATTCTTGCCCTCATATTTATGGTGAAATGGATTTTTTCCATCAAAGGCCAGAGGTATGATTTTGCTAAGCTTGGTTGACAGTTTCTGCTCTTGTAGAATTTTGAACTACTAGTAATACCTGATGAAAATCTCCTCCAAAGACTATTACTTTTTCACCAAAATGTTTATCGATGTCAATTATATCTCTAAAGCTCCTATAAACTGTTTCAATCATTTGCCGCCTAGCCATAGACGCTTCATCCGATATTACTAATATTGCCTTTTTGATCAATTTGACAGCACCACTTTGTTTTGACATATTTGTCATGGTTGAGTCATTTGTTTGAAGGGGAATGTCAAATCTAGAGTGAGCTGTACGACCTCCTGGCAAAATTGAAGCGGCTACTCCATTTGTTGTCGTTGCCAATGCTATCATTCCCCTTGAGCAAATATTTGCAAGCAACGCTCGATATAGAAATGTTTTTCCTATTCCTCCAGGTCCATCGACAAAGAATAATCCAACTCTTCCACAATTGACCTTTTGCAAATTATTTTGAAAGCCTTCTCTTGTTCATGATTTAATTTTTATTGTTCTTCAAAATCTTCTTTAGGTATTGATGCAGACATTTCTTCAGTTATTTCTCTACATTTCGATGTAGAAACTTTGGCCAATTGGTGTTCAAGTTTAGGGAGGTCAAATTTCCCGATGCTCTTGCCCATACTCTCCAAATAATAATTAATGCTCTTCAATATACATTGTAGGGGACTTGTGGCTGAGTTGTAATGTATCCTTCTAAAGTCCTCTGGCATATCCTTAAAATAAGTTTCCCAAAGTGTTCTAACATCAGTAGGGTTATAGTGAACTAGAATTATTGCAAACAAACTACGAAGAGCTGACGGCATTGGAAAAATTGCAGCCTCACGCAAACATTATGATATGTTGTTATCTAATTCTAATAACCCTCCTTTCTTTAGCAGCTTCTTTAAAAGTTTCACAATGTCTTCCATTCACAGTGAGTAAGTCTTTGAATGAAAGTGGCCCTCTCACATGGTTGAGTAATAGTCACTCATAATATCTTTCCCCCTCTTTAGGATTAGCTACAATATTGAGTATATATTAATAATATAGTTTGTTTACCATGAAAATGGTAATGACAATTAAATTTGATTTAGTGGTTCTAAAAATACGTGATCTATTTTTATGCTAGTTGTTAGGCAGTTGATGGTATGTGAAAGACTAAGAAACAAAATAAGAATTTAAGAGCGAAGTGTTAATCAAACCGAATTGCTATCAATTGGGGCCTCGAGCTTGCCTATTCGAGGGCCTCGAGGTTTAGTTTGAAGCTCGGTTGGGAGCTATCGAAGGCGGTCGATGGTGACACTAGCATTTATAAATAAATCAAAGACGGATTTTTAAGGCCAATAATAAGCAATGAATGATGAACTTTTAGTAGAACGCAATAAATACAAGCAATAAATGAGATAACGAGACCAAGAGAAAGTGTTAGAGTGCAGAGAGAATGTTCTGGAATATTTAGTATGGAGCAATAGAACACTACAAAATGACAAGTATCCCCTCTATATAGGAGGGGAAATCCCAACATAGTACAAAATACATTACAAAGATATGGGCTGGTACAGCTATTTAATGCATTGATTCAATTTTTCAACTAGACCACTACACCTAGCCAGCTATATGTATGTGCCTTGGGAACTTCACCCTGATCTGCCGAGACTGTTAATTTCATTGCCTCGAGGCCGGTCACTACTCATACTGTCTCGAAGTGGAACTATCGAGAATTCTCGGAGTCGATTACTGGAAACCCTCAAGATGCCATGAAATCGAGCCGTCAATTTCCACCGTATACAGATAGTCCCCGCGTTTCCTGGAACAAAGTGATAGGAAACGATCATGAGCCCCCACTCTATAACCATCATCGCTATGATGTTAGTCCATCAGAGCATTAAATGCCATACTTCAAAAAGCCGCGCAAGGGTCGCCGTCAAACAAGACTATCGAGAATTCCACGAACCGCTATTGGTTCGTCCTTTCCCCTGCCCACATAGTTCCTATAAAGGCATCAACCATTTGATAATCCATACTTTCACAATATCTTCAAATTTCCAGGGCTAAATCCATTCCCTTTCGCGCTCTTTCTTCCTCCATTCTTGATCTCTTGCCTACTTTCTCGGAAAGGTTTTGCCGCTATCATGGCTAGAACTTCCAAGACAGTTCCTCGGAAAGACGAGGTTGCCTCTTCATCTCGAGCATCCAAAGGAAAGCCCAAAGTGATACCCACCGTCGAACAATGTACTCCTGTCGGGTTCTACACGACGAAAGATTTTTCCGTTGACAAACCTTCATCTACATCGGGCTGGTGCGAACACGTGTCCTGGTATATTAGCATAGTGACCGATGTGAAGAAAGTGAAGAAAGATTGCCACTGGGGAAAGGCAGTGCTGGTTGAGATACCCTATTTTGACAAGAGCATAACGGATCATAAAGTTGGTTTCCTCTATGCATATACTTACCCGTTCACTTTGAGTCTGGTTGATTCTTCCAACCCTTCTTCCTCAGAGATAGATCTGGTTATTCTTGATTTCTGCAACAAGTACCAAGTGATGCTTGGTCAAATCTATCCGTCTTTCTGGTGGATAGTCTACATGTTTCACCACTTCTCCGATGGGGTCGAGGGCGAGATATTTACCATCGACCATCTAATCAGATTGTATAGCCCTCAATTTTATCGACGTTTGATTAAGCTTCATCACGGGTCCAAAAAATCATTTTTCTCGAGCACCGATGAGGATGAGGATCGAGGGCGGATAAGTAGGTTCGTCCGAGTGAGGACCTCGAACATCATCCCGGTCGGGAGGATGCCATTCCCAGAGAATACACAGTGTAAAGTATTTTTCCTTCGAACATGCTCTATGGCCTTTTTACCTCTCTTCCGAAAAATGATTTCCCCTTGGCTTTTGCAGCTACCGCTTGGTACCCTGAAGCGGTTCAGGATCTGCAGGGATGGATCAAGCGGTTGGATACTTCGTTCCCCTATCTTGTTCGGTCTTGGCCCGACTGGCCAAAACATGGTGGGTGTCCAAGAACCATGGTAGGATCCCTCTTGCCATTTTTACTATGTTTTTGCAATTCTTTCCCATATCCTTTATGTTGAGAGACTTCAGTCACTATGCTTGCATAGGCCTTGGCGACGGAGTGCAGATGGGACTATATCCTGATGGTGAGGAAAGTTCCTCAAAGCCTGAAAAAGGCAAGAAGAGGAAGAAAAGTTTGGCCAATAAATCCCCAGTGGCGAAGAAAGCTAAACCCAGTAGATCTCGGGTCGAAGCCGAGGTCTCGTCTTTAGCCTCTAAAGTGGGCTCAGATGATGAGGACGATGATGGAGATGACGCCCCTTGGGTACAAAGGAGAATGTCAGGCACAGAAGCTCCCCAAATGTTTGATCTGAAGGGCACTGAGTTGGGGTCGACTGAATTGGCTCGAGCCCGTGCCTCGGAGGGCCTCGAAGAGGGTGCAAGCACGGCCCCCAAGCCTTCGTCTGGTCGAGGTGTAATCTTCGCTAGGGAGGCTGTTGCTGAAGGTTTTGTAAGGGTTTGGGCCCAAAGATTTGCGAGGGTAGGATTTTCCCCTTGGCGACATCGTTTTCCTGAGTGGCCTTAATTTGGTACCTCAGTTCTCCTCCAGGGAGTTAAGGGACGCTTATGATCTGAATTTTGCAGATGCGAGGGTTCCTCTCAAGGGGGGAGGAGCGGTTAGCAGCATTCTAGATGATGTTGATGATGTCAGTGAGGACATCGATATTGACGCCTCCAGCTTCATCAAGGCAGCGGAGAGGTTCCAGCGGCAGGTGATAGCTATTTATATTTATTTCCTTCGTCTTCAAGCATTGTTCCTCGTTTGTCTATCTCTTCTATTTTGCCGATGTATAAGGAGATGTATGACCATGCCCTCTCTAGGCTCCGAGAGGAGATTTCATGCCGTGAAAAAGAGCTCAAGAAGCTTACCTCGAGACTGTGGGATTCGGAGGCCTCTTCTGCTCGAAAGGAGAAGGAGCTGGGCGAACTTCAGACGAATTTGGAGGGAGTGCTCAGAGAAAAGGCTGGCCTTGTGAAGCAGGTAATTCGTTACTTGTAAACCCGTTAATTATTCCCATAATTCAAGGTTTGCTGACTTAACTTTTCTTTTGCAGATAGGGCAGAAGAATGAAGAGGTCCTCAAGCTGAGGAAGCGAAACGAGGTAGTGACCTAGGAATTAACATCGACTAAGGGTCTTTTCCAAAATGCTTGAAAGGAGATTGCCATGCTATCCGTGGCCAAGTTCGAGGTCGAAGGAAAAGTTGCCACTTACCTGAAGGACGCCGCTACTAATAATCAAATAGCCCGAAATATATTAGAGAAACCCGAGCAAAAACTGATTTGGGTTGTCGCTCATGCTAGTGCAAAGGCGAGGAGGAAAGCCTTAGAGGAAGCCATTGCCAAAGGTGTCGATCTCTCAACTTAGGTCAAGAAGGTCCGAGAATCGAAGGAAAATTGGGAGTTCTTAGTTGCTTTGGATGAAGGTCCCGGAGACGGTTTGGAGAGTAGTGATGATGAAGAATAGGCTTGAGTCGTCTTTGCTTTTCTTCTTTCTTTTTGTGTATGTACTCTGAGGGAAACGAGTCTTATAAAGATGCCCCATGTAAATATATTTTTTAGCAATGTAAGAGAAGCTTCAAGTTTTTTCATTTTTTATATTCCGTCGTTCTTGCGGAGTTAGACTTCGAATTTCGATGTTAGCTGTTTGAAGCTCGTGCTCGGAGTAGTCGGGGCTCCCAAGATCGGATTCTTTCTACAAATTAGGTCGGCAACTTCTTTAGGGTCGATGCTTATAATAGCAAAAAAACCTTCGAGATATCGATACCTCCCGAACATCGCACGATAGCAACGTTCATGTGACCTAATAGTGGGACCACCAGGGTGGTCCTGCCGATACATTTCCCGAAAAAGGCGATGCTATCATGGCCAAAATTAGTTGGTCTTTTGGGTAGGTGAGCAGTCGTTGCCTGCCTTTATATATTCACTCACTTATTTCTCAAATGGAGATCATGCTACTCAGAGTAACTATTTCTTCCATAGAACTTTGTTATTTGTGCTAGTTCTCTCACCGTTTTGACTTAAAGGCTTGGCCCAAACCTTCATCCTCCTCTTCCTTTTTTACCGAAGCCAGGATGCTACATCGACATCCGTCCATCAAGGAGAGGGGTGTTCCGCCTCTGTTCCGTATCCGGTCGATGGTGCACCGCCAGTACCCGGTGGGTGAGCCTCGAGGTGTTTTGTCTCGAGGAGAGACTTTACATTGGAGAGACCTCCCAACATTCAAGGGCATCGAGAACATGTATCGAGACTCATCTTCTCAATAACGGAGGAACACCTCGAGATGATTAGTAAAGATTGCGGATGGGGAGAAGGAGTGATACTACAGGTACCTTCCCCGGAGGAGAATATCATGGTCCATGTTGGGGGGTTTTAGTGTTTATATGTATCCTTTTACGTCGGATCCTCCTGACAGGGTCATGCTTGTGTTCTGTAGGAGGTATCAGGTTACCCTGGCATAGGCTCACCCATCACTTTTGAAGATAGTGCTGATGATAAGGTACTTTGCAAATAAGGTCGGGCTCGAATTCACCCTCAGCCATCTCATTAGGTTATATCGGCCGCTGCATTATCGGGGCTTGATTACTCTATGACGTCGATACACTCGGTCCCCTTCCATTGAAAATGAAGAGGACGAGGACCGAGGGCGGATGATCTGGTTCGTTCGAGCACGGACAATCGATATTATCCCTGGAGAGTTCTTGACATTTCCTAAGAAATGGAATTTCACACGTAAGTGGCGTACTTGTATTGTTACTGCTTTGCTCACAGTGGAGGCGGATTCCATAAAGGCATCTTTCTATTATATTCCTTGTAGTGATTCCTTGGTAGCCGGACGAGATCCCTGATCTGGCTGAATGGTCCCGCAAGCTGGCGGCTTGTTCGACCTATGATAAGCATATGTGGCGAGACCTGTCCGAGGGGAGATGGGAGGCAGAGCATCACAGTAGGCGTTTAGTGGCTTGTTTCCTCAGAAAGGTACCTTTCTTTTTAGCGCACTGACTCTGTCCCCATAATTGTTGGAGATTTTTCTGAGATGAGACTGTGCCCCCTAGAGGAGGAGGAGAGATTGCCGACCTCGGGGTTGAGGGTTGACAATAAATGGAAGGAGTCTCCGAGGTGTGAGGAAGCTCACGGCGAGGTGAGTCCTTTTCTGAGGTTCAAAAGAGGCGATTCAGCCATCCTTCCGGCTTTGGAGGCCTCTGTTTCTGAAAGATCATTTCCCATTCCCGTCGAAGGTATTTCGAGGAGCGAGGGTCATGCGGTGCCTTCCCCTTTTTCTACCAAAGGTGCTTTGGGGGATACTAGGCCATTAGACATTGGCTCGGCCTTTGGTGAAGCTCAACGGCTTGGCTTTATGGTAAGCTTCGATAGCCGGTATATGTTTATCTTGGTTTCGCGCCCTTCCTTTCATATTGAATTTTCCTTTGCAGGCCTTTGACAGGCTTAAGTCCGAGCTGCTTCGCCAGGAGGCCAGGCTTCGGAAAGCTTTGTATAGGGAGAAATCCCTTAGGCTTCCTTGTGAGGGAAAGGAAAGTGAGCTGGTATACCTGCGGTGTGAGGCGAATCAAAGTTGGAACCGCGGAAGCCGTCTCGAAAGACAGGTAACCTGTATTTCAGGTTGATGCATGCTCCACTTTCATTTTCGGAGATTAATGTTTTGATATTTCAGTTGGAGAGAAAAACGGAGGAGCTGGAACGTCTTTGGGGCGAAGTTGGCCAAGCCAAACGTGAGCATAACGAGTTGAAGGCTCAAGTAGATGCCCAAGTTGTGGTCGAGGAG